GTCTCTCCCACAGGCTAGGAACACCACACGAACAAAGAAGACAGCATCCAAGCACAAACATGGATAAAGAAAATAAACCCTAGGTTCTTCCCTTAATAGAATCCCCTCCCAGGAATTCAAAAACATTCCTTCCTCACTTCCCTCCAAACTCCCTTAATTTCTCCTCTTTGCATCCCTCCACACTCCCTTAATTTCTCCTCTTTGCATCTTTGATTATGGCCCTAGTGGACCCCACCCTTCCCCTTTTTTTGCGACTCCCCCCGTTTGCCCCACTTCATTTGTGGCCAATACTGACCCGTCTGTGGGCCGGTCTTGATGTCTTCAGCCGGTTTAGGGAGGGTCGGCTCACGTATAGGCGTAGCATTACTCCCCTCCCAAAAAAGCACCATGTCCTCAAGGTGGAAAGATGTAAACTGCTTTTGAATCACCTCATAAGACTCATATATTTTTTCATAGTCTGATAACCCCTTCCATTTGACCAATACCTCCTTTGTTATTTCTACTCCTCAACGCACTCTTTCAATCTCTAATAGCTCCAAAATCACCTCCAAGTCTTCTTTCAGTGTCGGCGGTAGTGTAGGTGAGGGTATGATCTCCAATCGCACATCTCAGCTGTGACACATGGAGCACCGGGTCTAGTGCGGATGATGGTGATAATCTCAAATGATAAAACACTTCCCCGATGCATGTCATCACCTCATATGGTCCATAATATCGTGGTGAAAGTTTCTCGTTTCTTCTTCTAGCTAATGTCTTTTGTCGGTAGGGCCTCAGCTTCAAGTAGTAAACCATTTCCCTTGGTTCAAACTACACCTCTCTCCTGTGTTCATCTACATTCCTCTTCATGATTTGTTGATCTTTCAGTAAATTCCCCTTGAGTTCTGCTAGTAACATGTTCCTCTCCTCCAAGTACTAATTGATGCTAGATACTGGTGTGGCGCCATGCCCATAATGTACTAAGTGAGATGGATCCCACCTATACAATATCTTGAAAGGGGTGGTCTGTTATGCGGTGTGGTACGATGTGTTATACCAATATTCGGCCCATGCAATCCACTTGGCTCAAAGCTTCAGCATATTAGATACAAAACAACGCAGGTATGTCTCCACACTCCTATTAACTGCCTCCGTTTGTCCATCGGCCTAGGGATGATATGCAGTGATCCTCTTGAGGATTGTCCCTTACAACTTGAATAGCTCTTTCCAGAAGTGGTTGAGGAACACCTTTTCTCTATCTGAAACAATTGATTCCGTTACTACGTACAATCGAACCACACCCCGGATAAACACCGCTGCGACTGAGACCTCCGTGTAAGGATGTCTTAAGAGAATGAAATGTGCATACTTACTCAGGCGAGCCACGATCACCATGATCACCGTGAACCCTTCTGATCATTGCAATCCCTCAATCAAATCTATCGTCACTTCTTCCCAAACTTTCCCCGGTAATGCTCATAAGTGTAGCAACCCTCCAGTTGTCCTGGTCAAGAACTTGTGTTGTTGCATACGTCGCATTTGCCACCGCATCTCCACCCAATCAAGTTCCGCCGTAATACAACTATAGGTCTTTTGCACCCCTGAATGTCCCTTGACCGCACTGTCATGAAACTCTTACAATAATCTGGGAATATACTCCTACGCCTTGAGTAGCACGGATCGCCCCTAATGGAGCTGTTGTTGTCCCCTCAATGCATATCCTAGATGACTTTTTGGATCATGTAGAAACTCGGCCCTTATCCTTCTCAGATCCTCATCCCTTTTGCTTTCTTGTCCCAAGGATTCCCAACTAGCACCAAGGTGACGGATAGGGCCATCAATTGAGGCTCCTCCACCTTTCTCGACAGTGCGTCAGCAGCATTATTCTCCAATCCTAACCAGTATTGAATCTCGAAATCATACCCTAATAGCTTAGATAGCCATCTCCAATGCTCCTCAGTCACCATTCGCTACTCCAACAGATACTTTAAGCTCCTATGAGCTATTCTGAACAAAAAAATTCGTCCCAACAGATAGGGCTGCCACTTTTGACTGACCAAGATAATTGTCATTAATTCTCGTTCATATATTAGCTTTAGCCTTGCTCTGATAGTAAGAACCTAGTTAAAGTAGACAATCGGCCGCTGATCCTGCATGAGCTCTACTTCCAGTCCATACCTTGATGCATCCGCCTCCGCCACAAATAGTTTACTGAATTCTGCAAGTGCTAATACTAATACACTAGCCATGACCCTCTTTAGATGTTCAAACGCCTAGGTTACTACTTCCCTCCAATTGAAATTGTCTTTCTTCAACTGTTCCGCCAATGATCATGCTATCATGTCAATTCCTCTCACGAACTTCCGCTAGTAGCCTATGAGCCCCAAGAATCCTCTCAACTCTTTCAAATTCTTTTGTACGAGTCAATCAACCATAGCCTTGAACTTGGACTGATCCACTACTACCCCCATTCCAGTCACCACATGTCCTAGGTACTCTACCTATAACTGTGCAAAAGAACATTTCTTCAAGTTAGTATATAATTGGTGCTCCCTCAACGTCCCCAGGACTGTCCTCAGGTGTCCCATATGCTTTATCTTTGTACGACTGTAGATCAGAATAACATCAAAGAAAACCAGGACAAATTTTTGAAGATAAGGTTGAAAACCCCTATTCATGAGGGATTGAAATGTCACTAGGGCATTAGTGAAGCCAAACAGCATCACTAAGAACTCATAATGTCCTTCATTTGTCCTAAATGATGTCCTGTGCACATCGGATGGATTCATCATGATCTGCTGATACTCTGACTTAAGATCAATTTTTAAGAAATAACTGCCCCATAAAGCTCAACCAATAACTCATCAATAACAGGAATAGAAAACCTTTTCAGCACCGTTTCCTTATTCAAAGCCTAGTAATCCACACAGCATCTCCAACTGCCATCTTTTATCTTCACCAACAGAATGGTACTGGAAAAAGGGCTCACATTAGGTTTGATAATCCTAGCCCCGAGCATATCTCGAATCAGTTTCTATCTCATCATTCTGAACCAGGGGGTACCTGTATGGTCTGACGTTAATAAAAGAAACACCCTCTTTCAATGTAATTGTGTGTTCATACTCCCTCGGATGAGGTAACCAGTTTGACTGTTGGAAGACATCTGTGAACTGTTGCATGAGCTGCAAGACCCCTAGAATCCTCCGGTGTTGCCACCTTTACTGGTCTTCTTCATTTGTTTCTTGTTCTGCATCATTTGGGCGAGCTCCATCATTTACCCGAATCCTTGTGGTCTCAAAGGACAGATGGACGTTCGTATGTCAGCCTTCAGGCCTTTCAAGTAGTTCCCTTCCAAGTCTGCTGCAGAAATACCCCTCAACCTCCCTGACAAGAGCTCGAAATTCTCTCGGTATTCCATAGTCGTTCCCTCCAGAGTCAGAGCATAGAATTGCTCGTGTAGGTCTCCTTCCCGAATGACTTGGAAATGTTCCAATAAACAATCCTTAAACTCCTCCCATGAGCATATTTACGCTGTCGTGAGCTTCTCTTCCTCAGTCAACCTGTTGATCGCAAAGTATCGCTCCACCCGATACACTAATCCATGTGCATCCTCCCCTTCGAAGATTGTCATCTCCAGATTCTTGCATCTCGCGCCAACCTCCTCTTCCTCCGATATTGCCCCCCTATGTCTAGGGTGGAACTCCCTCTTTCGGTGATAGGCATATCCCGCTCCTAAATCCCTCCTTCCTCCATCGTGCTCTTCTGTGCTCCTTACACCATCTCTCCTCTAATTTTAGGCCCATCCCCCTCCATCGAAAATCTCCACTCCCCCTCCTCTTGGAGTCCTAAGAGGTCGCTCTTGTGGGGAGATGAGGTCTTCTTCGTAGTCTTCTCGCTCAATCTCCTTTCCTTCTAACCTAGTCAAGGATTCCCTGATCAATCCTTACTTATAATTGACAATTGGAACGATTGACAAGGCCTTGGCCTGCATCTCCATGAGCCTTTTCATCATCGCCGCATTTCTCCTATGTTCTCAAATCCATCCTCCATTCGAATTTCAATGGAGGAAAACATGTCCTCCATGTTGGATGACGTCTATTGCATTCCTGATTTAATTTGCCCTACCTCGCCTTTTAGCACCTCTACTTTTTTTGTCGTCATTCCACCAAGGTTTATGCTCTGATACAAATTTGATACGCCTCATAACCAAAATCAGCAAACAAGCCACAACGAAATGGCAATAGATAGGTGAAAAATTGCAAACAAGGGATACTCTTACAACAGTCAAAGGAAAACAAGTAAGATACAAGGTTGATTTATTTTTCGAGAGGTAGATCTTCTCTCTCACACCCTAGACGTCGCTAGGAACACTACACGAAGAAAGAAAACAGCAGCCAAACAAAAACATGCATAAAAAAAACAAATCCTAGGTTCTCCCCTTAATAGAATCCCCTCCCAGAAATTCAAAAACTTTCCTTCCTCACTTTTGATCCAAACTCCTTTAATTTCTCCTCCTTACATAGGTAATTATTGCCCTAATGGACCCCACACTTGCCTTCCTTCTGTTGCGACTCCCCCCGTTCGCCCCACTTCATTCTGTCACCAAAACCAGCCCATCTATGGGCTGGTTATGATGTCTTCAGCCAGTGCAAGGAGGATCAGCTCACGTATAGGCATAACACAGCATTGCCCTTAGATTTTCACACTTAAAGAAGTATAAGACTTTAACATAGTCAAAGCTCAAAAATATACATGATATAAACTGAATATCTCCTTTTCTGGCATTCAATCTCAAATCCAATAGAGAGTGCATAACCAATACCAGCAATGAACAGATAATTCAAATCAACAACAAATATGATGTTCAGCAATCACACAAAATAAGAAACTCTAAAGTTTTAACAAGTAATTGATCAGTTGAGCTTATGAAGCAAAACTGGAAAAGAAACAAGCTCTTAAGTTTGATCAATGTCTAGCAAAATTAAATATAAAGCTTTATAGGATTAACTGAATCAATTGCTCACCGAGAAATTGTAAAGCAACAGCCGGGAGATTCATTATCACATGGTCAAAATGTTCCCATATCTTAGGAGGTGGAAATTTATATCCTCTGATCCTTTTGTTAAAATTTCCATTTCTTTCACTTGATCCATTTGTATAGCCATCATCAGTCTTTTTATCTATTAATAGAACCAATTCAAATAAGATATATCAATAAGTACAGCAAAAAAAATTCAAAACAAAACACAAGCAAAGATCATCGTCGTTTTTTTTTTCCCAGCGTGAATATTTGTGTATCAAGTAGCTTTCTCAAGTGTTAGGAAAAAGAACGCTAATAGTTATTGCATTAAAAGTCAAGAAATGCGTCCTTCAAATTCACTGATAGTGACAACCAGGTCCACCTTAAGGAAACTATCAAACACCCATCATTTTGGTTGAATGGCATTTCCTTTGATCTATAAAGTGATGGTCCAATGTTCAAACCCTTGAAAAAAAAAACCATCAGATGTTAAGCAATTTTTATAGAGAAATTTGCATACCACACAATTCCTTATCTATTTATATATATAACATCTAAATTTTCATATTTACATACAAAATGCTTTGATTTGACAAACTTATATGCATGAAATGGCGTATTCACTTTTAAAAAGTAGTGATAGTGGTATATTTTATGTGATATTAAAGATCCAAGTGTTATGAATGTAAACATGAATGTTTCAGTATCAAATATGTAAATACATAAGAATTTTTTGATATGTATGTAAATGTCCATAGTTAATTAGTATCCATCAGATACACATGTATTTTTTATAATGTAATTTATCTACCGACTAAAATGTACATGGCGTGGAGA